CCCGCCCGCGGCGGCCAGGAGCCCGACCGGCCGCCGCTCTCAGGTACGCCGAGGGGGGCCTCCCTCCTGGAGCCAGGAACCGAACCTGGTTTTCAGTAAGTTTGAGAATGCCCAGAAAGTGAACGCAGGGTGTGTGTTGAGGGGGGAGCAAACCCACCATCCGAGACGGACGAGGACAGTGCAGGATTTGGGTCGGAGGCCCCTTTGCATTGTGAAGGACAGGGCAGGCAAAGGAACCATGACTTAGGTCATTCTCGAATGCGATTAGTTTAAACCTACATCTAGGCTGTAGACTGCATTGTAAACACAAATTTACCAGGGAAGGAATACGTAGATTGCTTATTTTGCCTTTCTGTGTCTGTTTCCCCGTCTGTAAATTACGCATAGTAATTCCTAGCTGGTAGAGTTATTATGAGTTATTATAAAGATATCTACGAAAAGTGTTAGCATTATTGTTATTACTAGTTAGGTATGGTGCTTAAATACACAACAGAGGAAATATCAATACCGAGTTTTATATTGTAGGTCGGGGGAGTACCTAGTGGGTCTTATTATGGCAAGGTTTTCAGATGATTCTGATGCAGAGCCAAGGTTGAGGATGTATCTGGAGGTAGGTAGGACGGCTTCCTTGAACTCAAGAAGCTTGTGGTTTGGCTGTAGAGACATAAACGTAATTGTAACCCAGGTGGTTAAGGGCTGTACCAGATGTCAGACAAGATGCCTCGTAGCACAGAAACTCCTCCCTGTGTAGCTGGAGAGACTTTCAGAGGGAGCGATGTTTTTGCGGGATATTGATTAGAGATGGTGGGGACAGAAGGGGCTGGCCCTGTCAGGGATTCTTAAAGAGCTGGGTGCACTGGATGTTTTGAAATCAGGAATCAGAGAAACTGAGAGCTTTCGTGCAGCTGAAGTGTCCAACACATGGACTGGAGGGGAGTTCAGGAGATGAGATTAGGAAGTGGGTCAGAACCAGATTAGGAAGGTCTTGTCATGGTGCAGAAGTTTGGGGTTAATTCTGTGTAAACAGGTCAAGTGATGTGAGCAAATTTGTCCTTGGAACTATAACTAAATGGTAAGTGGGAATGTGGACTGTGAGTGGTGAGTGCGAGAGAGTCCGGCCACAGTGCTGCAGCCAGATGGACGCGGCAGGGCGAGCAGGTGACCATGGGGCGAAAGGAGGCAGCGTTCCGTGCTCTGGGAATCTTAGCCGCCCTGTGTGTTGAAACAGGTATACGTGAAGTGTGTGTGCCGAGCTAGCGGTCGCTTCTTGGTGTTTTCAACTTTTACAGTCACTGGTAAGAGAAGCGGAGAAGAAAAGCACTTCTGACCACTGCAGGTTTTTTTCATTTGTTTCTGCCTGCATATGGAAGCTTTAGCCTTTGCAGGAATTGAGGCATGTTGAAAAACAAAGTTCTTAATAAGTTTCAGTGCTGTTGCCACAAATCATAGAATTTCCATTGACATACAGCTGGTCTTCTGTATCCTCCTCAGGTTGTGCCTCCAAGGGTTCAACCAGCCACTGATAGAAAATATTTGGGGAAAAAAATTCCAGAAATTTCCAAAAGGCGAAACTTGAATTCTGGTGACATTTGCGTAGCATTTACATTGTATTAGGTATTGTAAGGAATCTAGAGATTCTTTAAGGTATAAGAGATGATGTATGTAGGTTATATATAAATACTGCAGCCTTTTATGTAAGGGATCCTTGGATTTTAGTCCTTGCAGGGGGCTCTGAAACCAGTCCCCCTCAGATGACAACTATTTAATTACACATCCATAAATGTATCTATTTGGTTAAATGAATCTTTAATTATAATTTTGTCTTTAAAGATGCGTGAGTTGAGGTGGTAATTAGCAGTTGCTAGTTTTACGAGACTCAAGGTAATGTTTACAAGTAACCATTAGAGAAACTGTTCCACGTTTTTGTTTACAGGGTTTTTACCTCCTATAACTCCACCGGAAAGGTTTTTCCTGTCCCAGCTGATGCTGGCACCCCCAAGGGAACTCTTCAAAAAGACGCCTCGACAGATCGCGCTAATGGACGCGGGGAACACGGGCCAGTCCGTGGACATCAGTGGGCTTCAGCTGGCCCTGGCAGGTAAGGGGGGGGCGCTGTCTCAGGCTTCCTCGGCTCGTGGCATTAGACCTTTTCTCTCGAGGCCCTCCACCTGGCAGGAAGGTCTTTGTGCTGAAAGGGGAGTATTTTCCACGAGAAACATGGCGTCAGTACTGGAGCCTTGCTTTTATGGCAGATGAACTCAAGTTTGAGTTTTCACTTGAATTGGTTGCTTTTCCAACTTAAGAATGCTGGGTTGGGGGGAAGGGTGGAGCTCAGTGGTAGAGCGCGTGCTTAGCATGCACGAGGTCCTGGGTTCAATCCCCAGTACGCCCATTGAAAAAATTAAAAAAAAAAAAGAATGCTGGATAACAGTTGGTCAGTTTAAGATTCTTCTGATGTCATTTCTACTCTAATCTTGTGTCCTGCTACCTTGTGGAATTCTTTTATCAGCTCTAGTAGTTTTTGTGTGGAGCTTTTAGGGTTTTCTACATACAGTATTGTGTCATCTGCATACAGTGACAATTTTACCTCTTTTTCAATGTGGATCCCTTTTATTTCTTTGTCTTGCCTGACTGATGTGGCTGGGACTGCCAAGACTGTTGGACAGAAGTGGTGAGGGTGGGCAGCCTTGTCTTGCTCCGGATGTTGGTGGGAAGGCTCTCAGCTTTGCACCGCTGAGCACTGTACTGGGACCCTTCGTGCTGGTTTCTTAGTTCTGCCAGCCAAGGGCTGCTGTGCACAGATCCGAGCCTCGAGGATCCCCCTCCGTCCCCACCGACCTCCACTGAAGAGGGGGCATCCCAGCGTCAGCGCTTTTTCTCCTTTGCCGCTCCCTCCCCACGGGACAGGTCCCACACTGACTTCCTTTTTCTTTTTTTTTCTCCTACCAGATTTTGGGGGGAATTTTGTCTTTTGAAGTGGGCGATGTTCTGTCAACGCTCAGCAGGTGCTCTGAGTGAATGGGTGGGTCCACAGATAGACGTCTCGGTGGATTCCTGGGAGAGGGGGAGCTAAGAGCGTCCTTCTACTCCACCGTCTTGGCACCCCTTTTTGAGTAATTTTAGTTAGCATTTTTCCTGTTCAGACAGTGAGGTTGAACATCTTGTCGTATGTCTAGCCATTTTTTCATTGGATTGATGGTTTTTTATTGACTTTGGTAGCCCTTTAAGTCATCAGGAATTAGCCCTCTGTTTTTAAAATCCAAAATCCAAAATATGGTACTTACTTCATAAAATATACATATGCATTTAAAGGAGTTATAATAAAGTGGACCTGGAGCAACCACCTTCCAGGTGAAGAAGTGGGATAGTTTCAGGACCTGGAGGCTCTCTGTGTTATTTTTCCCAATTACTGGTCCCCACACCCCACACGAACCTGATTTTTGTGATAATCATTCACTATTTACTATACAGCCTTCCCTCCTGTGCATGCCTGTAGTTTAACCATGCACTTTCCTGAACTTTATATAAGTGGAATCACGCCATGTTTTTTTTTTGTACTTTTCTTCTGTCGGGTGTTACTGGGAGATAAATCCGTGTTGACGACACGTAGCTGTGGTGGCTGTTATGTCACTGTCGTGCTGTATTGGTACAGTGGAGTACCAGGTCCTTGTGCCTGCTGCCCCTGGTGGACAGAATGTTGCTGTGAACGTTCTTTTGGACATTCTCCTGGAGTACACGTGAAAGAGTTTCTTCTAGGTGGAGAGATAAGCACGTGTAAAACTTTACTCGGTACTGGCAGACTGTCTTCAGAGCTGTTGTGCTGCGTGAACCGCCGCCTCCTCTGCACTTGGTAACCCAGGCTTGTTCCTGTGGGCCAGTCTGATGGGGGTGTAACAATATCGTGTTTTACTTGTTGATTTGTTCCCCTGGTTCTGAATGGGATTGAACATCTTTTCAGATGTTTATTGGCCGTTCATGCTTTTTCAAAATAAAATGCTTGTTGAAATCATTAGCTCATTTTTCCCCTCTATTTTTAAACATTGATCTGTAGGACTTTTGAAAAGAAATACACTCTGAATCTGTCCCTTTACTTGTTGTAGATAACTTTCTCCAATTAGTAGCTCATCTTGTCCTTCTCTTTTTGGAGCCCTTGATTTTGAAACGTCTCCTCTTTTAACCTTTTCCAGAACGCCAGTCAGAATTGCCCACGCAGAGTAAGGCCAGCTTCCCCAGCATTCTCAGCGACCCGGACCCGGACTCTTCCAATTCTGGATTTGACAGCTCGGTTGCCTCTCAGATCACGGAAGCTTTGGTCAGTGGACCCAAGCCACCCATTGAAAGTAGGTATATCTCGTTTTGTTTTCTTGGTTTTATCTCACCTGTGCCCTCCTGAGACTTCCTGCTTTTGTGAAACACCGTGCTTTTTTCGTTGATGCTTAAAATGTGAATTTAATGAGAAACTTGCTAGTGGAGTGTCTGGAGATGCTCAGCAAAGGTTAGTTTCTTCTTCAATAAAAATACCAAGGTTTTTTATTATATACCTGTCGTCAGTATACCTGAAGACTTGTAAATGCAAATATACATTCTCTGATTTTTATTGAAATGAGTTTATTTTTCTCACTTATTACATTTTATGTCTTTTTACTAATCTCATCGGAACCTGCCCTGTTTTACTGATCTTATGGCTTTTAATTTACTTTAATTCAAAGAAAACATCATTGAACTTGAAGTAACAGCTGCGTTTTGGGCTTTGTAGGCTTCTGCGCGGGCTTTTCTTGTTTTTGGCTTCTTTGTGGTTTTGGTGATGAAGGCGTGCTTTCTGCTTAGAGATAAGAACGTTCTCCAGATTGTCCTGTCACCTCAAGTTTAAAACTTACACTGTGACTCTTACTGCCATTTACGGTAGCTCTTTGGAATAAATGGGACTGTACTGAGGTCTCAGCTGGTCGCAGCCTGCGTGAGGTCCATGGCCCAGATGGGTTTTATTTAATACTTGCTCGGGCACAGCCTTGACTTGGATGGGCCACCAGAAAGGTACGGAAGCAGCCAGTCAGTCAGATATTAAGTGAGCCTAGCTGAGCCCCAGGCATCCTGACCTCTCCGGGACTTGCTCTTATCGCATAAGTGGTGCTTCTCATGTTTCTTTCTGTGATTGGTCTGCAGGGATGCGGTGCTAGTTCTGGTGATGTAAGTGAAGGGACAGTGTGGTTTAAGATAAAGGGGTGATTCTTAGCCAGAAACAGACATTTACAGTAAGTGAGAGTGTATATATAGTCCCAAATTCGGCAGGGACTGGGCCTGGGACAGGAGTAAGCGTCTCGGGCCCCACGTGGGAACCAAAGTGAGGGGTGAAATTGGTTTCGAAGTCCCAGCCAGCGTTTATTTTAGTGGGTTTATAACTTAGGGATCAATCTTGTTTTACAAAATAACTGAGGTATTAGATTGAGTCACTTGTCTGTCGTATTTTCATTGTCTTATGAAGACGATACGGCCTCTGAGAGTGTAGGGAATCATGCACGTCTCCAGGTTCACCTGAGAACGTCCCAGGTCAGCCGTGCTTTTCCTGCCATTTCATCTGCGCAGAATCTGCTGCTTCAGGGGTGTAGGAGGCAGAAGTGAAACGTACACAGCATGTGGTCCCTGAATAGAACAGTGCTGAGAACAGGATGAGTGAGGCGGGATGAAGTTTCCCATTTTTCCCGTCAAGGCTGACCAGTAGTGTCAGTTGTGTCCTGCTGCTGAGTGGTGGTCGTGCTCGAACGAGTTATCGGGCCTGCTAACGCTCTGCTGCCTCTCCAAAATACAGACTTGGTCTCGGGCATAATAATGTTATGTCAGTGTTTCATTTTCTCATTTGGATTCTGAGTAAGACCCTGACTTTATGTCGTTTCTGCTTCTGACTTTGAAGTCTGAGTTGTGTGCGTTGTCCTCCGAGGGAGGCGTTGTGTCCTGCTTTACGGGGTGGGGGGTCTGGGGTGTGCACACACGTGCACGGTGTCCGCTGACAGATCAGTCATACACGCTGCTTGTGTGTTACAGGCCACTTTCGGCCGGAGTTCATCCGCCCGCCGCCTCCACTGCACGTCTGTGAGGACGAGCTGGCGTGGCTCAATCCCACCGAGCCTGACCACGCCGTGCAGTGGGACAAGTCCATGTGCGTGAAGAACAGCACTGGCGTAGAGATCAAGCGGATAATGGCCAAAGCCTTCAAAAGCCCCCTGTCTTCTCCTCAGCAAACACAGGTGAGCATTTATTGTAAACATCTTCCTCTCTCTAATTCACCACGCGTTTTTTGTTTTTCCTTAAGTGCTAAGTGACCAATAATATGATGTTGCTAGCATGAGGCAGCGGTAGGAAGTGTTTTGGGCCCCTGAAGCTTTCTTCTGCCCTCAGTCTCTGCTGGGGCAAGAAGTCTGGTGACCAGATGCCTCCTGACTTTCGTTTGGGATCTGTTTGACACTGGGAGGAGTGGAGGATGGTGATCACTTTGGGCCCCTCGCTCTGTGCTGTTGGGCACTTGACGTACGTGGTTACTGAGGGTGCAGGACTCTGTGGAGGGAAATGGAATCGTGAACGTTTTACCAGGAAGGTCAACCAGCCCCCATCACACAGCTGGTTGTGGGCGAGGTGAGATTCAGAATAGCCCGGTGCCCAACTACATGCCTTCCCTTGGGAACAGCGGGACACTGGGTGGTTCCGCTTGGTGGATTTTATTCAGTTTGTGCATTTTCACATTAGAACCTGTCAGGAGATACATCTCCAGCCCAGTTCAGCACCAAAAATACCCCTTTCAAAGTCAGTAAGAGCTATGTTTGCAGTTCACTTCGCTTACTAGACATCCTGAAACAGTACACCGTGGTACATACCAGTAGACGGAGAAGGGGATAGAAATTTTAAAAGAAAGTACTAATTTGGCAGAAAAATTTGTTTTTAAGGATACCTTTTGAATGACAGCGTGTGTGACTTGCACGGTGAAGTCCGGCAGGCAGACCTCCCTCCCCCGAGTCCGGCCCCTCCTCAGGTGGCTGTCCGCCCCGGCGCCTGGCGGGGCCCGTTTCTCCCGTTCCCTGCTCTCCGGGCCCGGGCGTTCCTGCAGTGCTACTGGAAAGGGGTTATTTTTGATTGTTTAACAAATGATGGAAAGACCCTGAGAGAACTTAAGGACGATGTTTTTCCCATCTAGACGGTATCCTGTCCAATCAGACAATTCTGGTTTAATGCCCAGGAAGCTTATTTAAAAACTGTTGTGAAGGTGCCTGATTTTAAATATCTGGCAATTCAGATGTAAACTTTAAAATGTCAAAGCGTGACCATGGGATTGAGGGGAGACGTTTATGAAGTTGGTTCAGTGCAGATCATTTTAGAGCCTTTTGTATCAAGTACCTACTTTTTTGTATGTAGGAAAGATAATTTCTAATTCGTCTCACGGACCTCTTTCTCTTTTTAAAAACTGGATTGTATTTAGCTCCTTGGAGAGTTGGAAAAAGACCCCAAACTTGTTTATCATATTGGCCTCACACCGGCCAAACTCCCTGACCTGGTGGAGAACAACCCTCTAGTGGCTATAGAAATGTTGCTGAAGCTAATGCAGTCAAGCCAGATCACGGAGTACTTTTCAGTTCTGGTCAACATGGACATGTCATTACATTCAATGGAAGTTGTAAATCGGTAAGTTTCTGTATTCAGTCAGATGTGGGGGGATACAGGTCCTGATTAAGTAGCTAGGAGGCAGAAACGAGCAACAGTTGTGTTTTTTTTTTCCTTCTGACTTTGTTAGCCTAAGAAAACCCGTTATTAAATAAACCTGAGCCTTGGTGTTCACTGCACGTGAACAACAGCATCCATGAGTGAGAACTCGGGGGGTAGGGTTTCAGGTATTTAGCATTAAAAGCATCAATCAAACTTCATTGCTGAAACTTAATTCCCTACATATAGCTGTATATTCACACAAATTACAGATACTACATTATTTCTTGTTAGTGACGAACAGCTATATCACGGGAAAGTATGGGCCTGTAAGCTGAGAAAATTCTGGAAATGCCTTCCTAGAATTCCTCACACTGTCCTCGAACCTCTCTCTGCTGGGATTGACCATTAGAGAAACGCAGCACACGTTCTCTTCTTGATGTGCTCCGTACAGCGATTTCCCACTTTGTCATTTTCCTGATGGATGTTTTAGGTGAATGACAGACGTCACAGGTGTGGGGGTTAGCCTGGGAGCCCGCTGTGTCACCGAGCTGTTAACGTAGAGGGCAGCCACGCGTGCAGGTCTGCCTGATGTGGTCCCAGTTCAGGCTCCTCGTCCACGGCGCCCCACGCGGGCGTGGCCATTCTGCTCCGCGGCAGGATCCCTGAGTGCCACGCAGCTGAACTGCTGCAGGCAGAGCACATCCTTTGAACACTTGTTTGTGAGTTGGGGAGGATTCTTTTTTTAAAGCTGTTCTAAAGAACACGTCCTTTTAAGTTGATCAGCTGGTGGGAAAAGCCTGGCTGGAGGCCCAGTGACGGCGAGCGTGCGCAGGAACTCGTTCTTGTGGGGCTGGAGACCGGGCAGGAGGTTTACTGTCTCGGATACAACTTGTTAGCTTCTTGCTGAAAACATGCTGCTTCATTTCTGCTGCCGCCTCATTCACACCTTTCCTGTCGTCAAGACTCACTTTTTAGGGGGCTGCCCTCTGTTCAGATGCTCTGGGGTGACCAGGCTCCAAGTCCACACTTAGTGTCGTTATTCCTGGACTGAGCGACTGCATCTTGTTCTCGGCAGAACAGGAGTGACGTCAAGGACGAGGTCTGCTTTGCCTGCCCTCCCACCCCCCTCACAGCGCATCGACCCCGCGCGTGTTGCCAGCACGAAATCAAGCTCCCGCGGCAGCGTGTGGTCATGTTTCCTTTCAGCCCTGGTTCCTCCGGACCTTACGGGGCAAAGTCCTGTCGTCAAACAGTTCAGAATTTCTTTTGGAAATTCATACTGTGTAGTTTGCCTAGCCTACCTTTATCTGAACATAGAACTCCCCACTTAAAACATTCCACAGGCTCCTTTGGAAAATACCTTCTAAGACTCAAAACTCCCGGAGAGGCCACCATGCCTTCTACTACATCCTGGCCGGGTCTCTCCCTGTGCCACACGGGTCCCCGATTCCAGACTTGACTCAGATATTTCCTGAGTCAGAAGGAACACTTCTCTTCTTGAGTTTCAGTTTAAGTCGCTTGTCCTGTTAGGACTTTTCCCGATCCTGTTCTTTGTGCAAATGCCTCATGTTAGCATTTAGTTCCGTGTCGTAACCAGGGTTCAATGAATGTTACTTAAATGGACAGAAGAACTGCCAGGGTTATTAGAGCCTGGATGGTAACTGAGTTATGACTTGGCCAGCCAAGAACACACAGGGACATGGTGCTCAGTGAGTGTGTACACGTGTGATGCTAAGCGTAGACCTAAAAAATGGACACTTATTAAGGGATGTGGCTCTCAGGTTTACTTGCATATGCTTATTTAAAATTAATTGGATCACGTAGCAGAAATTCTCACTAAGTGACCAGAGGAAACTATTTTATGGTTAACAGTGTTTTTAGATGTTATTAGCAAGTAACATTAACAGCCCTAACTTTTCTAACTTTATGAAACAGACTGACTACAGCTGTTGATCTACCTCCTGAATTTATCCACCTTTATATATCAAATTGCATTTCTACCTGTGAACAAATTAAGGATAAATACATGCAGGTAAGTAATAGAAGTTTTTGTAAACTTTATAAACATCTGCCAAGAAAACAGACACTAAAACTTGATTCTTTTCCAGAATCGTCTGGTGCGGCTCGTGTGTGTCTTTCTTCAGTCCCTGATCCGTAACAAAATCATCAACGTGCAGGACTTGTTTATAGAAGTGCAGGCCTTCTGCATTGAGTTCAGCAGGATACGCGAGGCCGCCGGCCTCTTCCGGCTGTTGAAGACCCTGGATACTGGGGAGGCGCCTTCTGAGACCAAGATGTCAAAGTGATACCTCACTGCAGCCGCCCCATTCATTGCTCAGCTGTACTGATTTAAGTTTTAAACCCGTTAAAGCCCTGAATGGACTGCTTGGTTACTGCGCATAAACACCACTTTATCTACTTAAAGCAAAGTTTTGCCTTCCTGGATGACTTTTCCTTCAGATGAATTTTTGGTAAGAACTTGGAAAAAATGTGTCTTGGCGTCTTGCTGATGATAAACCATGGGAGGAACGTCATCCAGAAGTTACTGCAAAAAGCAGATGAGGTCTTTAGCACCACAGAGCAGGGTGCCTGTTTTTGCTTAAAACATGAGTCACGGGCTTCCGATCCTTGAACCCATTCCTGTGCGTGGCTCTTCACTTTGTGAGCCACAGACACACCCGTAATTTGTCCCTTCTTGTTGCGGGGACTTAAACAGCCGCATCAGTCATTTCTTGGGCTTTCTGTTAACACTGGAACTCTTTAGAAACGTTTTTTGAGACCCGCTAGCTGGTATCGTTTTCTGGGCTTTCTCTCTTGAGATGTTCGTTCGTTCTTCTGTTACTAGTCTAGGTCGTCAGTGCCGTGGAGGAACTGTCGTCCCTGGGGACTGTCACGTAGGCTGGTCACCGAGTGGGGTCTGTGGCCCTGCCCGCATCGTGTATGCTGTCACCCCTCATTTCACTTTGGACAACAGTGCCTTACATTAAAGTTTTTTATGACCTCTATTATCTGATGTATTTTTTATTTGAAGAAATTCCTCCTTTCCTGAGAGGTACGTTCAAAGCATATTCTTTATAAGAACAGGAATCACCTTCCAATCCAGCCCTTAGCAAAACTTACAGGATACCACGCCCGCAGGGGTTTTAAGATGGGTGCAAGTTCCAGCCTTGAAATAACAGAACAGTACTCCTAGATGGATGAGAAACTTTACCTTACGTATGCTCAGGAAGGTAAGGGATTTATACATATAATTGCTTAAAGGAAACAAAGGACCCTAGCTGACGTAACAGGAGTGCCTTCCAACATCCAAGTGATGGCAACTTGACTTCTCTGCACACCCAGCTGTGGGTGCTGCCCTGCACGTCAGCACCAGGGAAAGGAACAGTTCCTTATTCAAATACTTTCTGGAATGGCGAAGTTCCTGCCACTGCTGGAAGTCTCCCACCCCGAGGCTCCAGGACCTGCTGACTCTGGTGACACTGACCTGGCCGGCGGCGTGAACAGAACTCGCCCTCCTTGGGGGTGGGGGGCACCTCACAGGCCCCTCGGGCTCAGGCCCATCGTCAGCCCTTCAGCGTTCTGCTTGGGCTGCGCTAAACTAGGAAACCAACAAGAAGCACGGAAATGTGGCACTAAAGGCCACTGAAAAAGGACACCTGTTGACAGTCTGAGCTGAAACTAGAAGATGGGGCCTCCTCTAGGTCAGCCACAGCATCCTCTCTGCGACGTGGGCGTCTGTGCACGTCTGCAGATGCACCGCACACGCCGGCCTGCGGCTACAGGTGCGTTTTCGTGGGCAATCACGGCCTGCAAATTAAGACTGATGACCGCTAATCGTTTCAGTATTACAGTACAGGTGTTTACTTGAAAGACAAAAGACTTCCAAATTTATTTTAAATAAGCAGCTTATAAAGAACAGCAGTTATATTCAGAGAACATTTTGTAAAACAAACAGAAAACACTGAGTCAAGATACACATTTACACCACCAGCAAAAAGGTTCTTCATTAAACACGTTACAAAGTAGAAGAAAGTTTACCTGAAATAAAAGAAACTATAATCCTGGGATTCAGTAACTGAAATCAATTTTTAAGTGTAATCAGATGAGTTCAATTTTAATTCATGTTTTTAAAAAACCACATCTTGAGTTCTGGACTTTCAGCTCCAGTTTCTGGCTTTAATATCTTCGTCAGATCACCTGTTAGAAAGAACAGCACTAAGTCACATCTCAGGGTAGAAAGAAGTTACTTCAGAAAAAATATTTGTGATCCTATAACATAACTATTTCAAGTAATTCTCTTTAACAGTACTTATTATTAAATAACTTTTGGAAACAGTTCTCTCTCGATTTTTATTCTTACAGAATACACAGACTTCCATAAATTTTAAGTAGCACAGACCACTGTGTTACACATTCTGTAATGATTCGTATCCCCATGGTGAATAATGGGTCTATTTTCAGTGATCTTTTGAGCAATAATCCCTTTAACGTTTTAAGGGTTAAAATGGAAACAATGCATGGGAATGACTTCCTGTGTGTTCATTAGAATTCTTGCCCTGTCTACTGAGACATTTCGCTAATTTTGCTATTTTATACCTGGTCTGTCTTTCCTTTTTGTGCAATCACGACTGTTTTTATCAGGAAAATCCTTATGAAAAGGACTTCCATAGTCCTGGGATTCAATAACTAACTGGCCCACAGAAAGCAGTGGGGTCCCAGGTCCCTCTCCAGTCCTGAATACACAAGCCTTACTCCGTGGCCCTTAATACCCAACTCCTCAAAAAAGAATGGACTGACTTTCCTTCATTCAAAACCAATGTAATGCAAATGCTTTTTTCACTTTACAGCTTGTTTTACACTTGGCTCTTAGAATGAGGGCAGGTCTCCAGCTGCAGGGCTGATGGACACTGCAGACCTTCACTTTTACAACCAGTGATATGTGTTTAATAGTGTCTTTGAAAATGAAATGTTTGTGTTTTTAACTTCAAAAACTAATCTAACTTGGGAAAAGTGTGGGTGGCTTTTCTAAGTGGTTGCTGCGGCACAGGAGTACGGCATGTGCTTCACCGCGGGACGAGCTCTGGTTCAGGCCAAACATCCTGTGCTTTGAAAACTGCAAAGCAGGGTTTACACTGAGCCCGAAGAAATGCCTGTGACTAAAGCATATCCTCGCCTCAAGTTCTAGTCGGGGATATACACGTGCTGATTTAACCTCAGCCGTCACTGATCAAATAAACTTTAATGTGCTCAGAAGAGGGTACTGCCAAGCTTCCTGGGGAATCCGGTCACACGGGGCAATTCCTCCAAACGGAAACACACCTGGCTCCTGGAGGCCTGTTACTGTGATTTGTTTCCATGGTTCTAGCCGGCTTTGGCTCGGCTAGTATATCACAAGGTATGGAGAGAGGTACTTATGACATGCTTAAGCCCCAAGGCTGTCCAGCGTCCACTGATGACTTTTTCTGAGAAGTCTCTGAGCTCGCTGGGAAGGCCTGTCTTGGAAGTCCTGCCCGGACGGCACTGAGGTCAGACCAGAGGTTCGCTTCAGGAGGTCCTGTCATCGTGCGCCCACAAAGAGAGCCAACTGCTGCGGGACACACTGCAATTCGGCCTTTTCGTGTCATCACTCCTCAGTAACCCCAGGGAGCAGTCCTTCAGGACAAGCTCTGTACGTTCAACACCCCTAAAGGGAGACAGAACACGCAAGGGGTGATTACCTGCCGCGGTGGCCGTATGCACACCTCTGCCCGGACTTCACGGCCTCCCGACGGGAACCCGGCAGCAGGCGGGCGGCGGGCTGCGCGGTGCCCATGGTCACGGTCCCCTCCCCTCCTGCACATGCTGCCTGGGGCTTCCAAAGTCACACAAAAAAGTGCTGTTCCTACATTATTTGTGAACAAATGGTTTTTATAACAATCGTGAGACGGAAAGTGATCACTGCCATAAATAATACAACCTTAACGAAATCTGGTTCATTCATCTTTCTTCACTTACATTCCCTACACTCCCAGCATTTTATCCACTTTATAAATAAAAATTCTAGTATTTCTGACCCTTTATCACGTATACTTCCCTCTAAGAAAAGCCTATCAAAGGAAACTTTCTCCTTTCAAAGTACTGCAGAGTTTTCTGTCTTCTCTTGCTAATTTCTTTCTCTGCTGTTAAAGACGTTTCTAGAGGTAAGACTACCATCATTTTTCAGTCTCTTCTATTTATAATTTACGGTTCAAACTTCTGAATTAAGGAAAGATCTAGCTGATAGTCAGTGATTAAGAAATCACAATTCCATAATTATCAAAACAATTTACCTTATCTGCCAAAGTATTCTTTTATAACAGTCAGCCTCACTGGATCCCGGGAGGGGCTACAGCATTTTTCCCCTCACATGTATCTTAAAATACAGACAGCAAACAGTCCACCTGGGAGAGAATCACGGACGTGTTTTCCTATCCGCGATGAGCCACAGAAAGCAGATTTCAAAGATAATAGCTATTGTGGACACCTACTGAGGCTCCCTGCCACAACGAGAGCTCAGAGTTAGACACTTTCTATTCCAGTAACTCCTCGAGTGGAACCCGGCCTCAGTTTACTTTAGTAACACTGCTGACTGACCGAGTGACTAGAATCAAAGTGCGTAAGTAGTTTGAAAAAAATAAGCTATCTAAATTTTGTGTCTTAGATACAGCTTGGAACAATAAATTCTTTAAATTTTTAAAATCACATTTTTCTCAATAAACATTTATTTTTACCCACAAGATAAAGACATATACAGTAACCAGTCTGAAACCAACAAAGGACTATGGTTTTAAGTTCTAAAAAAAGAACTCTTCCTCATCCTCCACTTACACCTCGAAGAGGTGAGAACAGAGCAGGGTTTATTTAATTCTGTATAAACTTAGAGAGCAGCCCCCCGAACCCCGATTTAACTGCTTGCCTTTTAACTGCAAAGATTAAACTACAGTTGGAACCAGTATATTCATCATATACCCCCAAATCCCCAAATCACATTCTATCCACTCCATTTCCTTAACAAGCAATGAAGAACTTCATGCTTGTGTGCAACACAGAATGTTAGCTTTTTTATTTACAGAAAAAATGGACAGACTTCCCTCCTCATCAAAGGTTTTAGAAGAAATTAGGTCACAAAAGAGAGAAATCGCAAATCCTAACGTCAGCTTAGTGCTTTTCTCATAATTCCAGATAAAAAACAACAATGAAAGTGCTCTCGGGTTTAGAAATCTCTGCAGTACAGAGATGCAACAAAGTGACAGGTTTCTCTCGTCACATTTACAATTTAACGTTCTCAAAGTCTTTCCTCTGGGGAAACTCACATAACCAGTTACTGAACATAATCTCACAACTCCATGTCAACTAGTCTAAACTCAATGTGCTTAGCCTAGAACCACCCTTGAGGAAACAGAATTAATCTTGTTTTTTTTTAACAGTAATGTAACATGGTAGGCAGCCTAGTACTTAGAAACACACCCCTGTCCTTCACAGTACAAGGCCCTCCCCAGCCATCTCCTAGGTAATAGCCTGAAACGATGTGTTGTTCATTGTACCTGCCGTATTTTAGCAGATAAATATATAAAGACTAATCAAAAAGTCTCTTTAAGAATAAAATATCACAGCCCTTTGTATATCAAATCAGAACCTGAAAGGTAAAAGAATGTACATTATTTTCACATATACAAACTATGTGCTAAAGTTAAAAAAAATAAAGGGTCCTTTAATTTCCGCCACGCTCTGTCCGCGACACCATCGGCAGATGTGCGCTAGCAGACGGGTCCTCCACGCTGCAGGTCGCTCCTGCCTGTTTCTAGAACAAAGTAACAAAAGCCAACGTTAGTCGGCTGGCATCTTCTGAACTTCAATTACATAAACATCATTACTCATTTGGAGATCATAATTCAAACAAGATTACAGACAATTTTAAATAAAACTTACACGTGAAAAAGGCAACCCGAATTCCAGAGACAGTCAAGAAAAATACATCAACACCTTCCTCACACACTGAGTGAGAGGTCTGCCAGCATCAGCCTAACCAGCAGGAGTGTGATCAGCGCGGTCAGAGTGAGTTCCCAGGAGGAAAGCAAGCAGCAGCCGTGTGGCCACGCAGGAAAACAGGAGCCTGTATTTCCTAGTATGTTATTGTCTCCAACTTAGAGATGAGGAAACTGAGGCCCAGGGAGGTTCAACCTGGCATTTGAACCCAGTCTGATGTTACTAGGAAGAGGAGTGCAAAAACTGTCAGCATGAAAGGTGTCTTACAGTGACAGGACACTTCCTCACAGTCAGGAGAGCCAAATACTGTGAACGCACAGACAAGCGGAGCGGAGATAGCCGGACAGGAGGAGGTGCGTCCCCAGGGAGACACATTCTCCGGGAGTGGACAGCCACGAGCAACGCCCACATTTATTTCCTAGATGCTTCTGAGAGTCTGTCTTCTCAACTCTAGGTGAAGTGACCTTATATTCTGAAGCACTAGTGTCAGCCTAAAAGAACTGATCTTTCTTTTCCTTTTTTTCACTGTTTTTGTGTGTGTGCATGCGTGTTTTGTTAATGGAGGCGCCGGGGACTCCATTAACAAAAGGTCCAGGACCTCATGCATGCTAAGCACGCGCTCTACCACTGAGCTGTATCCTCCACCCCCAAGAACTGATTTTTCCAACTTAATATTTCTTAAATTATACTGTTACAGTTAAAAGACAGAAGAATATTAACATAAAAGTTACTGGTCACATTTACTTGCAAATTTTAAAAAGAGACAAAGAGAGAAAACAGAAAACGAGCCAAAAAGGCAGGTGGGAGAAGGGGCCCCGCTTCCGCAAACCGGGCCCAGCGTCCTGTTGTTTCATGACACAGGTCCTTCTTCCACTTTTACTTCCACCCACTACCTCCAGTTACACATTATCTTACTTCTAAGAGGGGAGGAGAGACGGGGACAAACCAGTGCCCGACAGGCACCCAGAACGCAGGAGAATCTGGAGACCGCTTCTGAAGGACAGCTAGTCAAGAGTAAGTAAGAGTTTCATCTATCTTGAAATATCTCAAGGGTCGTGGAAGACTACAGAGAACAAATTTTGGTTTTTTCTGGAGACCGAAGGCAATGGCAGAAAATACAATGGTACGCACTCAGACTCAAAGGATGGAGTTCCTAAAAATAAGAGTTTGTGGAGGGAACCCCACCCTGAAAGGTGGTTTAGCCCCAGAGGGAGGCCGGGCAGCTGGTCAGGACACACCCAGGATTGTCCTACTTCCTCATTCTCTGAACTCTATTCTCGCTTTTTCTTACACAGCAGACTCTTTCTCCCTCTGGTACTGGTTTAAAAGTAAAGTTCTAACATTTCTATTGTTGCCTTCCAGATTCTAAACAGTGTGAAAAAAGACAAAATGACTCAGTTTGAATATTACTGACTTGGGAAAAATATGCTTCCTCTTCCAGGATGGCAAAATTCAAACTCAGAAGTGTCAGTTCTTCCCAGTTAAAATAATCTACAAATTAATTCAATTATAATTTTCAAAATCTCATCAGATTTTCTTGTATATGGCAAGATAATTTTAAGATTAATCTTAAAACATGAAAAATGGTTCAGAATTTTTTAAAATAAAGATGAAGGAATTGGCCTCGCCTTCCAAGTACATATTATTCACAAGTAACTATTCACTAAACAATGGACAAATGGTTAAACATTTGGAAAAAATAGGTTAGTTAAATCTTCCTTTAAACTGTGTGGATTAAAGATTAAAATGCAAAGTATAAAACCACAGGTATTAGCAAAGTATAAGTCAATAATCCTGAGATGAGAAAGACTCTCCTAAGTTAGCATGTTCTCAAAGGCAGAATCATGAAAAACGGAGAAGCTGGACAAGATCAATATCAAAAATTTCTATACAGCAAAACACATCAAAAAGTCAAAGGATACTAGTATTGTAACTAATATGTGAAGCAGAACAATGAAAGTGAATAAACTAGAAAAAAAAAAGTCAAAGGGTACAGAACCTGGGGGGAAATATACAACACATGTGACAAAGAAAGACCAAAGAGCTCCTAGAATCAATATGAAAAAATCAGTTTCTCCATAGAAAAATAAGCTAAGGATGAAACAAGCAACTCAAAGAGAAGAAATACAAATAACCAACAAAATGAAAAGTAGGTAACCCCAAAAATGCAGTTCAGTCCCCTTTATCTATCAGAACGGAAGAGGGCAGACAGTGGGAGATACACACACACAGTAATTTCAAAGTGTCACTGATGGTAAAAGTCCACCAGCAGAGTGTGGTTTTAAAGAAATTACAGTAAATCCAAACTGTGATACCACGCAGCTGTACAGAGTCGCACGCCTTGTCTGCTGATACAGAAAGAACTTCGTACGTTAAGAGAAGGTCACCTAACAGTGCATACATGATATTCGCCTTAAACGCCAAAGAAACATCTGAAAATGTATTTACCAAATGTTACAATGGTATTTCCAGGTATGGGATTATGGTTCTCATCTTTCCTTCCTGTTTTTCTGCACTTGATGTATTTCTTCATCTCCTTTCAACCACAGATAACATCACTGTGTTTTATAATCTGCAAGCTACTCACCCAGTAAGACTGTGTTTTCACCGGCATCTTCTTTAAAAGTGGCATCACCCTGCGGCACAGTGTGGCTGGTGGGGGACGATGCTGAGTTGTCCCCGACACTTCTGTCCCCATCTGGTAAGGTAAGACTCAGTTCTGGAGCCAGGACAACCCCGGGAGGAGATTCTGGAGCGGGCGTCTCCTGTGCGTCCTCAAGCTCTCCCTTGAGAGTCATAGCAGAGAAAACACCTTTTCTCAATAACACGATCAAGCTTATCTATCCTCTTTTGCTCAGAATTCATACAAAATATTTACTTTTATACACAAATGTGGCAAAAAGCACATCAAAGTCTTCTTTCTTTAGCATCAGCAGAAAATGAGTTACTTCTTAATAAGCATCTTTTTAAGACCTAAATGCTTTTTCCTCTAAAAACCATTTTCCCCCATCGATACAAGCAATGCCACCTTTTAAACTATTTATTGACAGAAAGTCCTTCCTGCCTTCCTGGACAGCCTGGCTGTCTGCTCGTCACTGATGGCTGAGCCCTGAGCTCCAATGACTGCCTGGAGCTGCTGTGCTGGTTCACACCCAGGCACCAGCGCCTCGGGGACGAACCAGGCTCCTGCACAGCGGAGAGCTGCAGGATGCATCTGGGTTCACTGAGACAGCCGGTTCCGGCTCCTTCCTCATGGAAAGGGTGTCTACCAGCTGCCCGTTTGCCTCCGCGTCCCAACTGGCTGCTCTAAAGAAGAAAGTAAGATCATGAAAGCGAGGGCAGGAGACTCTGTAAGCATTACCACATCAAGTCTCAAAGTGGGGGAGCCATCTGGAAACGGGTTTTGATTAATGCTGGAGTCAAAGCTGTGCTGGGATGAGACTCCCGATAAATGACCAACTAACGGACCTCAGCTGAGACTCAGAACCCTGCACAGCCAAGCCACCTGCTCCCTGGGGCTCTCAGGGCCGAGGGCACTGCCGCTCCCTCTGCAGCTCCTCCTGCGCTCTAGAACCCTCTCCCCACTCCAGGATGCCGTGGGGTTCACTGCCTTCTCACAGGCAACCAAACAGCCTTAGGACAAGTCTTCACACTAAGCAGCGCCCGAGCTCCTGCTCAGCCCTCCCTGCTCTGTTCTTCTGCGTCTTTGCCTGAATACCCGCCGAACTTCACCGCCTGCCGGTCTTGTGCCCTGTGCCACGGCATCGATCTGTGGACACGCAGCTCACACGCTCCCCTAGAAACCACTCCCTTTACCGTCCCACGTGCACCGGGCAGGGTAAACCCTCCTTCCTCCAGGACCCAGACACTGCACGCTGACCTCCTCGGCTCCACGGTGTGTGGTGCCTGCCCAGCCCACCAGCCCAGATGGTGGGGTCCCCGAGAGCCCATGAGCAAAGGGGCGGAGTCTGATCCATCCTCATCTCCCCAGAGCCAAGTTCAGACCCAGCACTGACCCAGCACCCCTCTCACTAATGCCCACTGAGTCAGCACAACAGGGACAGAGACCACATCAAAGCGGTCACAGCTGCAAAGCAAAGGGCTGCCTGCGGAGGCCCATGGGCCGCTCTCACCGCGGCCATTTTCTTAGAAATGAGAACTTGTGACCATACGACAGGGTCACGACTATCACAGTCCAACCCAGTGCAGGAGGGGCCAACAGGTCTGACGAAGATGTCATTTTTGTCGAAGGATTACAAAACAAAAGGCGAGACAAGTTCATCTCTTAGTTTGATTTAAAGTTACTATAGGTTTCTTCAAAAAAGAACGTAAGCTTTCTGGGGACCCGTATTGTAGCTTTCTGAAATTAACACTCTGAAAGCAAACCCACCTGACGTCAAACAAAGAGTCTTGGTTTCTAACACGTGAAAGAGACACATAGATACACCTCCAAAACCAAAACTCACGAGGACTGGAGTCTCAACGCAGAGGTCAGCGAAAAGCATCTTACACAAATGTTCAGAAACGAAAAGCAGTGTTTAAAATTATTGATGAATAAAGGAAACAACTTAAAAGGGCTTAAAACAACTTCAGAGCTCATCTAAGGAGGAAAGGATGGAGAACTTTGCCAAGGAAACACCTGCTGTGCTCCCTGGACTCTGCTGTTTAAAATGCAGCCCCAGGAAGGCGCGGGGCAGCGATGAACCCTGGACACTGAGAAAGCTCCATCCACCTCGTTATTCAAAAGCAAGATTAAACGAGTGTTAGAAATTCTACAGTAAAGACACCTTTTCCAGATATCCAGGCAAATGTGTTTCCAGGAAGACAGGTCTGCTGCCCCCAACCCCTCCCTGGTACCCATGGCGAGGCCTCGGGAACTCACACCAGAAAGACGTAATTCACAGAAAATGACACTGGTTATGGAGGCAGTGAGGGGTCCCTCATCTATCTTTTGAAGACATGCTGAGCTTAAAGGTAAAAATACACTCCAAAGCAGCCTGCAGCCTTGAGGGCCGTGAAGGATTCAAGTCACGTAAAATCATTACCATAAAAAACCTCTCTGTAGTTTCCAGGTCTATAGTAAACGCTACCAACATCTCTATGTTTAGCAACCAGAAGAATATTATTAGCTGTTTAAATTACTTCTTCCAAAGATCTTCATTTCAAAACTATTTACATGTAATTAGGAATCCCTTGAGACATTCACAGATTATACGCAGACTCTAAAAACAATAAAAAGTGTAACAATCTAGAACAATGTTTCTCTCCCTCTACGCCCCTCCCCATTTTGGGTTAGGTGCGTGGACCCTGGAGTGAAGCACACTTGCATCTGGAAGCTGATTCCCTATTACTGAGCTGTGTGACCTAAGCTCAGGTTCCTACTTAGTAAAACAGGGACAGTCACAGTCAGCATTGCCCTCCCAGGGCGGCCGGAGGGGCACACGTCACAATGAGCGTAAGGCACCCAGCGCCCACTGCGGTTATGTGTCCCCTCACTGGCCTCCTGTCTCTGTTTTCTCAGGAAGGGCCTGTGACCATCTCAGCATCACAAAGTGCTGGACACAGTGTGGGATGAACTTCCCCGCGGTATCTGGTTCTGCAACCCAGCTATTGGGAGCGCTGGTGTCAAGGAGTGTTGGCTTGAGTTTCCTCACGTGAGAGACGTGCACCTGGAGCCAGGAAACGTGTGCAGCTCTGTCCTCCTCAGACATTTTATAGTAATTCTTGTCTATATGAAACGGACTAGCTTCTATACACCGTGCGGTGTGTCACCGCACGAAATCTATCGAAGACAGCGTTCTAAGAAATGACAGGCTCTGAGGAAACACCTAGCGGAGGGTTCTGTCATCACAAGTTTAGTTCATTGATTTTGGGGAAATTTTTAATAAAGAGAAAAATTTCTGCAGAAACAAACAGGACGCAAGAAGGGGCATTCAGCTCTCTCCTCCTGCCGCTGGTCAGGAACGGAATCCAATCACTCGGGGGGGAACCGGGGCAGAGGTTGAATATAAACAAAAATGCAACAAACCCAATATCCCAGGGCTTTGATGACATCAAGTTTACACATTGGACACGTGCGGTGATCCAAAAGCCATGGGTCAATGCATATTCTATGAAAAATATGCCTAAAAAAATTAAGTATGTGTTAATGTTTTAAAATAAATGTTTATATCTTATCAAGGAAACAATACATTGTACCCACTCATCTTCTCATCACAGGTTAAATGCCATCAACGCTCCCGTCTCTCCGCTCACCCTCGGTAACCATCTACCCTATTTTCCACGTTATACAGAATCTGGCATCTACGGGGAAACTTCCCATTCACGCCATAGAAATGGCACGGTTTCTCTGCACATCACGCTAGGATGTGTTTTTATGCATCCCTGTAATAAATGTGGCCCAAGTAACCCAACAGTAAACGAACAGGAAAACTGATACTAACCTGGTACCACCTTATTTAAGTTTATAAAATGATTCAAATGGAAATACAGCGAAGTATTAACAAATCATCTCTGGGTAGCGGCTTAAAAAAAACCACATTTTTTGTCTTATATATTTTTGTACAGTCTACATTTTTCTAGAATGAACACCTATCACTTTCAGAATCAAAGAAAGAAAAATCACATATGGATTTTGTCCTTTTACTGATCTAGGCTGGCTGAAATTCCCTCCTGGGGGTGAATCTATGTTTTCTCCAGGTGCCGCAGATAAGGAGTTAAGGGTGAGGGCACCGGAGCCACACAGATCAGCTCGGGTTCCAGCTGTGTGACGTGACGCCATGTCTGTGTCCCCGGGCCTCTCTGCACCTGCCCTGCACGCCGTCCTGAGGAGCGGATGAGTCTCGTGCTTACTAGAGTGTGGGCGCC